GATGATCCCTAAAATCCCTCCCAACCCTTCTGTGACCTTGTGGCCAATTGTTACTTTAACTGTTTCTAGTAATAAACCATTGAAATTACCCTAAACTATGGAAGATTTGGTTGCTGCTTATTTCAGATTTAAAAGGCACCTTTTTAGGCTTCTTTTTAGAAATTCTCAGGACGTTCAACTCTCTGAAATAAATTCAATGTTGGGATTGACCTTTTAATTTAGCTGTGAGTTGGTATTTACAGAGTACTTGCAGATTTTAGTTTAATTTCTTCTTTAATTTCCTTTGATCCTAAAAGCTGAGTTAAAAATTAAAAAGATCCATCACAGAATTTAGATTCTTTGAAGAAGAAAGGTGGGTTTGAGAACAGAAGAGTTCAGGCATCACTTTGAGTTTAAAAGTTGCTGCTTCCTCAGCATCCAGGTCCGTGGGCTTCGTGTTCACATCTGATTCTTTGGCTTACACGCCATTCAAATGCAAATTAAAATCTGTTTTGAGGATGGGGTGTTAATTTTAATTCAGAAATCATTTTGATCGCTTCCCCCCCAGTTATTTTTTGTGACGTGCCTGTTGTAACTTCCTATTTGCCATTTCTGGAATAGTTTCTCCTGCTTTTGTGTTCACTCAGTGTGGGGTGGGAACATGGAAAGGTTGTCATGGTCAGGAGAACCTGGGGTTTCCTGTTTGTACCTTGTTCTGTCATGGGGAAATTGTGTTGTAGTTACAGGAACCTCTGTCCCTGCATCCAGCTGTCCCTAAATTGATCCAGGTCTGGGGCTCCAAGACAAGAAAGGTCTGGAAATGTTGGAATGAGTGCAGAGGAGCCACGGAGCTGCTCCTGGAGCCCTCTGGAGCCAGCCTGGGAGAGCTGGGGGTGCTCAGCTGGAGAGGAGAAGCTCCAGGGAGAGCTCAGAGCCCCTTGCAGGGCCTGAAGGGGCTCCAGGAGAGCTGGAGAGGGACTGGGGCCAAGGGCTGCAGGGCCAGGAGCCAGGGAATGGCTTCAGAGTAGGATTTGATGGGATCTTGGGCAGGAATTGTTCCCTGGCAGGGTGGGCAGGGGCTGGGATGGAATTGCCAGAGCAGCTGGGGCTGCCCCTGGATCCCTGGCAGTGCCCAAGGCCAGGCTGGACATTGGGAGCTCCTGGGACAGTGGGAGGTGGCCCTGCCATGGCAGGGGTGGCTTTGAAGTCCCTTCCATCCCAAACCACTCTGGGATCCCTTCCCCACCCCTGAAATTCCAGGCAGGTGTTGAGAGTCCTCCCATTTCCATTGCTCAGTTTCCAGCCAGCCTGGTCCAGCACAGCCCCTTTTTCCCACATTTTCATGTGGGATTCAGGACAGCTCCCACATCTTCTGTTCCCTTGGAGTTCTGCATTTCTCTGGATTTTGATCTTTCCTGCCTGCCCTCAGTGCTTGTACCAGACCTGGGGCTGCTGCTCTGGGTCCTTGAGGCTTTTACAGTAATTGCAGAGTTTTTAATAATTTTCACTAATAATTTCTGATGTTTTATTAAGTAGTAAATGACAGCAAGGAAATGGCTTTTCCCCTTAGTTTTGCTGCTTGGAATTGCAGCTTCCTTCTAAACATGGATTTTGCCTTTTTTGATTTCCACCTCAGTAAATAATCCCAGACCAACCTTTTGTGACTGCTGAGCAACCAAAAAAAGACATAATTTTATCCTGCTGTTACTACATTGAAGGGATAATCAAGTAATTGGGATGGAGTTATTCCTGTTTATAATTTGGGATGTGCCCACTGCCTTTAAATACTTCCTGTTGGACTGAGAAAGTTGCCAGAAGAACTTGAGAAATTTCCTAGCCCTAAAACTCCTGAGGATTTGGTGTTTGCTTCCTTTTCTCTCTCTTCTTGGAGGAGGTTTTGGTGGTTGACAAAGCATTTTTCGTAGCCAGTGCTGGATTTTCTATCCCTTGGACTTTTCTTGGGGAAATGAGATGGAAAAAGGAGCAGTGGAGCTGAGTCCTTTCACATGGCTCTGGTTCCAGATGGGTGGCTCCTCGTTTTTTAAGAGGCATCAGCATCCCAGAGGCTTTATTTCCACGTTTGGTTTGTCTCCAAGCTGTTCTTTGAGCTTCATGGCTGATGGTCATGCCTGAAGCCACTTTGCCACCGGAGAATTCCAATTTTTTCCCAATTCCCCTTTCTTTGTACCCTTCCTGATTGCCAGGTGAGTCCTGTGGGACTGATGGAACCCCTGGCAGCATTTTTATTCCCTGTGGTACACAACATCCCCTCAGGATGAGGTGGTTGGTGCTGCTCTGATGGTTCTTTGGGCATTTGTAGCTTTAATCCTGGGACACCCCCAGCTGTGCATGGAACAACTTCCTGCTCTTGGATGGGATTGTGCTGAGCTGACAGACCAGGGAGGAGAGAGGGAGAGGCCACAATCACAGAATTGCTGAGGTTGGAGAAGAACTTTAAGACGATCCAGTCCAACCATGGATCAGCACCAGTGGTGGGCTCCCCTTTAAACCACATCCTCAGGACCACAAACCCACATTTCTGGGGCACCTCCAGGGATGGGCACTGCAAAGCTCCCTGGGCAGCCCCTGCCAAGGCCTGAGCTCCCTTTCCATGGGCAAATTCCTGCTGCTGTCCACCCTGAGCCTCCCCTGGCCCAGCCTGAGGCCGTTCCCTCTCCTCCTGTCCCTGTTCCCTGGCAGCAGAGCCCGACCCCCCCGGCTGTCCCCTCCTGCCAGGGACTTGTGCAGAGCCACAAGGGCCCCCTGAGCCTCCTTTGCTCCAGGCTGAGCCCCTTTCCCAGCTCCCTCAGCCCCTCCTGGGGCTCCAGCCCCTTCCCAGCTCCGTTCCCTGCCCTGGACACGCTCCAGCCCCTCCAGGGCTCTCCTGCACCAGCCACAACTGGAGCCAGGTTTTGAGTTGGGGTGAACCAGAGGTGGGGACAAAGTGCTCAGGGTGTCCCCTCACCTGTGGCTGGTGTGGCACCTGGGGCTGCGTTTGACTTGGTGAGAACTGTGGCGTTAACAGGTTTCTTCTGGGCAGATCTAAAATATGTGGAGGTGAAGGAGTGCGGAATTCGGATCTGTAGGCAAAAGTCCTTTGGTTCCTTCTTCCAGGGGCCCTCAGCCCTGTCCATCCCTGTCCATCCCTGTCCATTCCTGTCCGTCCCTGTCCATCCCTGTCCATCCCTGTCCGTCCCTGTCCGTCCCTGTCCGTCCCTGTCCGTCCCTGGGTGCAGGAGGGGCAGAGCAGGCCCAGGCTCTGCTCCAGGCCCAGCAATGGCACCAGAGCCACGGGCAGGGGCTGAGCCCAGCAATTCCCCCTGCACAGGAGCACAACTTGTGCCCTGGGCAGTGCCCAGAGAGGGGCTGGAGTCTCCTCCTGGGGATATTCCACAATATCCACAATCCGTGCCCAGAGGTGGCACCGGGTGAGCTCTGTGGGCCCTTCCAGCCTGAGCCATGCCAGGGTTCTGCACCTTTCCAGAACAAGGTGACAACCTGTGACCACTGACGTGGCCCAAGGTCAGTGCCAAAGTTCTCCAGGGGTGAAGCCGCTTGGGAATGGCTCTGGTTTGCCGGGGGGGCAGGAGGGGTGTCCAGAGCTGGAATTCCAAACCAGGCCCTCCATGCTCTTGGGAGCTTTTCCTTCTCCCCTCTGGAGCAGCAGCTCCCATTGTCTCCTCTTCCCTCCCCACAGCTCTGGGACTGGAATTAGTGCTGGGCTCTGGGACTGGAATTAGTGCTGGGCTCTGGGACTGGAATTAGTGCTGGGCTCTGGGACTGGAATTAGTGCTGGGATCTGGGACTGGAATTAGTGCTGGGCTCTGGGACTGGAATTAGTGCTGGCTGTTCAGGAAAAAATGTTGTGGCTCCCGAGTTGGGAGCCAGGCAGGCCCATTTCCTCTGTGCCCAAGTGGGCTGGCTCTGAGGCAAACCAAGGAACCTGTGTCTGTGGATCTCCTGGTTAGCAGAGTTCAGCTTATTTTTAGTTTGGGTGATGGCTTTAGGCAAGCCAGGATAAACCACAGCAATTTTGGGAGAGGGAGAATGAGAGGGATTATAGTGACAAGCTTTCCAACCCAACAATTAGTTGATGTTTTCAGAGTATGGCCACAAGTGGAGAAGGTTGCAAATTTTACAATCCTGAATGTAGAAATCTGTGGCTTTCTTTTCTTGTTCTTTCTCTCTGGTTTTGTTTCTAAATACATGGGGCTCAAATCTTTGGCTTCGTTGTGTTCACAAACTGCACCTCACGTTGGCCTTGCAGCCACTCAGGGAATGTGGAGAGGAGACAAAAAGCTTCTCTGTCATTTGGGGGGTGAGGGATGGAGGGCAGCGAGTTTACACAACAATATTTAATTTAATTTAAATATTAAACACCGAGATTTAAGATGGGTTTGTCAGGGGGGACCTCAATGCTCTCCACAACTCCCTGAAATGAGGTTGTGGAATGGGCACAGCCCTGAGGCTGCCAGAGCTCCAGGAGCCTTTGGACAACACTGCCAGGGACAGAAAGGGATTGTTGGGGTGTGTGCAGGGCCAGGAGCTGGATCAGTGATCCCTGTGGGTCCCTTCCAGCCCAGCACATTCCGTGGTTCTCCAAGAGTCACACACATGCAGTGTAAATAATATAAATGAACGTGGTGCTAATTGCTGTCTGCACATCAAGCCATGGGGTTTGTGTTTTCCCCACACTGTTGATTTTAAATATTAATGAACAACAACAATGCAAGGACCCCAAAACTGCTCCAAATTCATCATTTTCCTTTGCTAGGACTATTGACTTGTGCAAGGCTCAGACCAAGTGATTCCAGGTGAGTCAAATCCATGAACTCATTTCCTTTTTGCTGGTGCCTGACTTGGAAATTTTGCTGAGGAATTACCTGTTCCTAAATATCCTCTCCCTAAATGCTTCCACGTTGTCTTCTTGGGTTGCAGCACCACCTCTCCAGGTGTCCTCTCTACCACATAAAATAACCAGATTTCTCTGAATTTCTCACTTTTCTCTCTTTCTTTTCCAGCCTGAGACAGCTGCGGCGCTCAAACGCACCGTGGAGGCTCTGATGGAGAGAGGAGCCATCGTGAGGAACCTGGAAAATCTGGGGGAAAGGTCTCTGCCTTACAAAATCTCCAGGCACAAGGAGCGCCACAAGAGAGGAGGGTACGTGGTGATGCCTTTTCCTTAAATCCTTTCGGTGCTGCTCCTGGAAAATGGACATCAGGAACAACCCTGGTGTTTTTTGGGTTGTGGGTGGGAGCTGGGAGGGCTCAGCGAGGTGGTGGGTGGTTCTTGGGGTGTGTGTGTGTCCTGCTTGGAGTGTTTGGTGTGTTTTATTCTGAGTGGTGTCGATTTTGTGTTGCTTTTCTGTCGTGTTTTTGTAGCCCCGAGCCTGCAGGACTTTCCCCAATATAAACAATATTATTATTATTTTAAATAAATATTTTTAGGATGTTTCCTGATAAAAACTGAACTTAATCTGCTGGTTGGCAGGATGGGTTCCTTTCCTCCAATGTTAATTATCGTGTTTAGGTGCCCTGTAAGACTTGGTTGTGTTTCTGATAGAGTTTTTCCATTTGATAAAGTCCAGAATCATGGAATGCTTTGGGTTGGGAGGGATTTGAAGGCTCATCCAGTGCCAGCCCAGCCATGGCAGGGCCACCGCCCACTGTCCCAGGAGCTCCCAATGTCCAGCCTGGCCTTGGGCACTGCCAGGGATCCAGGGGCAGCCCCAGCTGCTCTGGCAATTCCATCCCAGCCCCTGCCCACCCTGCCAGGGAACAATTCCTGCCCAAGATCCCATCAAATCCTACTCTGAAGCCATTCCCTGGCTCCTGGCCCTGCAGCCCTTGGCCCCAGTCCCTCTCCAGCTCTCCTGGAGCCCCTTCAGGCCCTGCAAGGGGCTTTGAGCTCTCCCTGGAGCTTCTCCTCTCCAGCTGAGCACCCCCAGCTCTCCCAAGCTCTGATTTAAGGGTGTTTAAGGTAATCCTGTGTTTTATGGAATCACAATAAGTGGGAATGAAGGCTCCCACAGTGCAGAGGGAGGTGCTGTAGCTTCCATCCCCTGCCCAGGGTGCTTTTGCTCCTTGAGGCCACCTCTGAAATGGCTGCTGCCTCTCCCAAGGCCTGGGAGATGTTGCTAAGCAACCCCCACTGCTGGGGCTGCCTAATCCAAATAACAATTAACGAGCTCCTCCCGATCCTGCGGCGATGGCTCTGCCTGCAACAGGAGCTTGGCCAACCCTGCTCTTCCTTGAGCAGCTCTGAGGGTACTCCAGAGCTGCAAAGTCCTTCTGGGATCAACTCTCCAGGGGTGATTCCTGCATTCATTCCCTCTCCTGGGCACCTCGTGCCAAGTGGGAGTGGTGAGAGCTGCCAGGGGAAGGGGGAATCTCCACCACACTCCTGTTCCTTCAGCCTGGGGAAGAGAAAGTCCAGGGAGACCTCAGGGCCCTTTCAGAACCTTAAGGAACACTAGGAAAAGGAGGAAAGGGGACTTTCTCCGAGAACATGTAGGGTTAGGGGGGATATTGGGGAGGAATTTCTCCCTGTGGAGGTGATGAGGCCCTGGCACAGATCCCCAGGAGAAATGGCTTCTCTTCATGTCTTCTCCAAACTTCTGGAGATGCTGGTTCCTGTCTTCTGTCGAAGAACCCAAAAGCTGACCTGCAGAAGTGCTGTCACCCAAGGCAAAAACTATCATCCAAACTCTCCAGCACCAAAAATCAGTGGAATTTCATCCCTCTGCCTTAGCTCCCCACTGGCACAAGGAGAGGAACACCAGCTCCTTCTTATGCCCTTGGAAAAAGCATTAATGTTTATAAAATGCTTCTGCTCCGACAGCAGGATGAGGTAATCACTAATTCTGTCTTGAGACAAGAATTTCTCAGCTCCCATGGGCATGCAACAAGATTTCATCCCACACTGCAAAACTGGCAGGGTCAAGCCATGGTTTGAAAAGAAATTGTGTGGAGCAGGAGAGCAAAACAGGCACGGGCACAATGGCAGGGAGTCAAGAGTTTGGGTTGGGAAGGACCCTAAATCCTACCCAGAGCCAGCCCTGCCATGGCAGGGACACCTCCCACTGTCCCAGGAGCTCCCAATGTCCAGCCTGGCCTTGGGCACTGCCAGGGATCCAGGGGCAGCCCCAGCTGCTCTGGCAATTCCATCCCAGCCCCTGCCCACCCTGCCAGGGAACAATTCCTGCCCAAGATCCCATCAAATCCTACTCTGAAGCCATTCCCTGGCTCCTGGCCCTGCAGCCCTTGGCCCCAGTCCCTCTCCAGCTCTCCTGGAGCCCCTTCAGGCCCTGCAAGGGGCTCTGAGCTCTCCCTGGAGCTTCTCCTCTCCAGCTGAGCACCCCCAGCTCTCCCAGCCTGGCTCCATCCCTCTGCTCATCCTGGAGCCTCCTCTGGGCTCTCTCCAGCAGCTCCAGCTGCTCCCTGGGCTGGTCCCAGGGCTGGGGCAGCTCTGCAGGTGGGGTCTCACCTCAGGGGGCTCAGGGCACAATCCCAATCCCTTTCCTGCTGCCCACGCTGGGGCAGGGGGGCTCTGGGATGGGACAGGTCCAGCTCTCACCCCCCAGCAGTTCCAAATCCTTCTCTCAGAGATCTTGGAGCAAAGCCCTCCTGTCTCAGGGCAGGTGTATTTTACCTGCTGAGTAAAGCAAGGTTTTAGTGAGCAGCAATTGCAGCCTTCACACAGGAAGCCATCAGCTCCTCCTCCTCCTCCTCCTCCTCCACCTCCCAGGTCAGATGTCCCCAAATATTTCCCAGTCCCTCTTCCTGCCCTGCACCTGGATCTCTGTCCTTGGATGTGGCAGGAGCCTCCCCCAGATTCCCTGGCATGTTGAAAGGGAGAAGGCATTGAGGGAGGTGCTAGAGGAAATGGTTTGTGAGAGTTTCTTTGGGGATCTCAAATTCCAGAGCTAGGGATCCTACAGGGGGAGGCAGCTGGCAGTGGCAGTACCTGGGAATTCCAGGGGATTGTATTTCTGGAGATTTTCCTGCTGAATTTGCAGCTCCATGGGCAGGCAGGGTGGATTTCTGGTGGACCATCCAGTATTTTATATTGGAAAATGAAACGTTCAGGAAATCAAACATTATCCACCTATAGGAAATGATAAATGCGGTTTTTGAGCCACCTCAGAAAATCAGCCAGTTCTACTTTACAGCAGCTGTAAAAAAGAATCTTTTTATTTTATTTTTTTTTTTTTTTCAATAGGACAAAGTTTAAAAAGAAATAAAATAACTTTTCCAGATACCTTCCTAAGCTCCTGGATTTACCATAAAATCCTGGAATCTTTTTCTCCCTCCCAGGCAATTTCTGATTCCCCTGTGTCCCTTTTGGAGCACGTTGTTGTGGAGTGGGGCATTGGATAATCCAGAATATTTCACCTTTCCTTAGTCTTGGTTTATTCTGAATTAATTTAAGAGGTTTCTGTGAGAATTCAAATTAACGTCTTAATTTTTAATTTTTTGCTTGTTTGAGGTTTTAATATTTTTTAAGTTCATTTTTTAAAAAAAATTCTGACTCTTAGAGCTTTAGCTGTTTTATTTTTCTACAGCATGTAGTTATTTGGAGGTTTGTGATGGACACTCAATCCATTATTTCCTTGGACCTCCTGGCTGGTGAATGATATGAAAATTAATCTAATATAATTATATAAAAATCAATGCAATGGGGC